TACTTATTTTTGAGAGAGACAGAGTAAGAATGGGGGAGGGGCAGAGAGAGGGAGACAGAATCCAAAGCAGGCTCCAGGCCCTGTCTGAGCTGTCCGCACAGAGCCCTTACAGGGCCCCTGAACCCAGGGACTGAGAGATCATAAACTGAGCTGAAACCGGATGCTTTACCGACTGAGCCACCCAGGCGCCCCCAAATAACTATTCTTAAAAGATTGTAACAGGCTAAACAAACCCAGACTCTCTGTTTGTAATTCTGTTTAAGAAATGACTCATAGTTAATTCTTAAAAAACAACACTTTTGCAATTATTTGAGTTCTGCCTTTGACAGTCCAGACAAATGGAGCTGGGAAGATTTCCTTGAAAAGAGTATTGTCTTGGCTCTCTGCACTAGATCCGGAGCCGGGAGCCCACGGCCCGGCCATGTCCCATTAGACCGGCACCCAAGCAAGTGAAGATGTTAAAGATCTCTTTGCAAGAGCAAGAAATGGAAAATACAGACTTCTAAAAATATCTGTTGAAAATGAGAAACTTGTGATTGGCTCATATAGTCAGCCTTCAGATTCCTGGGATAAGGATCATGATACCTTTGTTTTACCCCTTTGGCGGACAAACAACCGTGCTATATATTATTCAGGTTGGATTCTCAGAATTATGGATATTCATTCCTTGATCTCCAGATCATTCTCATGTTTGTCAAAAAATGCTGTATGCAGCAACAACAGCAACTCTGAAAAGGAGTCTGGAGATGGCTACATTACAGATCAAGTATTTGGAACAGTAAAGGAAGATGTATCATTACATGGATATAAAAAGTACATGCTCTCACAATCATCATCACATCATCTCCTGCCCCATGGACTGCAGCTGAGAAAGAATTATGACAAATTAAAATGAATGAGGTACAAACGGACGTGGGTGTAGACATAAGCATCAAACACTACAAGGAGTAGCATTTCCTATTTCTCAAGCTTTCCAGGCTTTGGAAAAATTAAGTAACAGCTCAA